GAGAAGCATTGTCTCAGCTAGATCTCTGGTTAATAAAGGACTAATTAAAAGAGTTGGATCGGGTGAGTCCACTTCAGTATTGAAGGACCCGTGGATTCCAGCTCAATTCCCGAGACCAGCAAAAAGTAATGGTTCATTTTGAGACCCTTTACTTCAAGTTAAAAATCTTATCGATACGAGGACAAATTCCTGGAACATAGATAGTTTCAGTGCAATCGTTGATCCGGAGGATGTTCAGCTGATTTATGCTCTTCCCTTGGGGAAGCTTTCAAACCCAGATGTTATGGGATGGCATTTCACAAAGTCTGGTACATACACGGTTAAATCATGTTATCATACAGCTAGACTTGAAAATACAAAGGATTCTAATGGATGTGTTTTTGGACCAGATATTAAACCTTTAAAGGCTTTTACATTGAAGATAAAATGCCCTCCGAAATTGAGGCATTTTATGTGGCAAGTATTAACTGGGTGTGTTTCGGTTACATCAAATCTTCGGAAACGCGGGGTTAATTGCGATATAGGTTGTGATAGATGTGGGGATTCCGAGGAGACAATTAATCATGTCCTTTTTGAATGTCCACCTGCACGCCAAACATGGGCTTTATCTAAGATTCCAACGCCCCCGGATGTTTTTCCGTTACAGTCATTATATGCTAATATGGATTATTTATTTTGGCGAATTCCATCGGATGTTTACAAAGCTACGTTCCCATGGATTCTTTGGTATTTATGGAAAGCTAGAAAGCACTACAGAAAATAAGGGTATTAATAGCATTACAGTATAGCGTTTTTAATAGTTCTGCTATAGCTGAGTTTCGAAAAAATTATCATAGCGTTTTCAAAAAAGCAAACGCTACAGTAAGTTAACCGCGAAAATATTTTTTAGTGGCGCCTAATTTTTGGTTCAACGATAGCATATATAATATGGAAACGTTATCGTATGGGATAACCGGGAAAATGAAATTTTCATTGCTTCCAAAAATTTTAATAAATGAAATTTTCATTGCCTCCAAAAGTTTTCATAAGTAATAACAAAATAAAAAAATAGAGTAAAAAACAGAATTATAAGAGAAATATATCGATTAGGTTAAATTTTTGGTGAAACACTTAGGCCATTTCTTCTTTCTTCTTTGTTCTTTCTCTCTGAAACTCAATATGAATTTACTTGGATTGGAAACCCACACAGTCCATCCCAATGATTTTGTCACTTCTTTCACTCTCGACCCCTCTCGAACGTCTTAGCATCAATTCCTTTTAGTCTCAATCCCTTTCAGTCCCAATCGTCAGTTTCATTTTGGATCTACAAAGCCCTCTTAATCGTCACATGGGTCGATCCCAATTTGTTTAGGTGTTTGTCAATTGTAATGATTTAGTGTTTATTTCATGTTAGGTTTGATCGGTTTATGTTGTTTTGCTCTTTTGCAGGAAGATTTCAGTTAAGTTTCAGAGAAGGTAATTGAAATTGGTAGTGTATTACTTTCAGTTTGGGTTTTCGATTGATGTTTATAATAACTTAGATCAAAGTCCCCCAGAGATTTTACGGGTAGCAGAGAATGAAGAGCAAGCTTGGCAGCTAGCTCAGGTGGAAATCCAGGAGGGTATTTCCGAATTAATGGTTGGGAATACCCACTCACACAACAGATGGGATGAACCAAGGCAATCCCGTAATGGACTACGGTGTTATATAGATGGGTCTTGGAAAGAGAGTGATCGATTTTCAGGGCTAGGGTGGTTTTGTTCAAACACGAATGATGGAACGCAAGAGATGGGAGCTGCTAATCTTCGAAGAAGCTTAACCTCGCTACATACAAAGGTAGAAGCGTTAATTTGGGCGATGAGATGTATGATCGGCCAAGACAAGAGAGAAGTAAATTTCCTTACAGACTGCTCAGACCTGGTGAAGATGGTGTCTTCCCCGCACGAGTGGCCAGCGTTTGCAACATACTTAGAGGCGATTCAGAGTGACAAGGAGGAGTTTGATGTATTTTCATTATCTTTAATTTCTCGAAATGCAAATGTGAAAGCGGATAAACTGGCTCGAACTGTTCTTACCCAGCCGCATCTTATCACTTATGTAAACAATTTTCCACAAAATTGGCTTATTTGAGCCAATCTAATATAGCTGTTGACAAAAAAAAAAAAAAAAAACAAATGTCAACTATTCCTAAACTATCCCTTGCATTAGATTTAACCATTTTTCAAAAAAAAAATTAACAATAATTCATAAAAAAAATGATGAAGAATACATGAGAATATTTATAATGTCAAAAATATGTCTCTTTTGTTAACGTTTGGATGGATAAAATTTTATCTACAAAGTTTAGAATACACTTTCTGAAATTTGGAATGTGTATTCTATAAACTCTTCATGTTCTACAAAATTTACATTATGTATGTTACTGACTCTTCATGTTCTACGAAATTTAGAAGTCATTTCTGTGCTACATTATTTAAAATTCCAATTTCTACGAAATTTAGAATACATATTCTATACTTTGCTCTTTGTACTACGAAGTTAGAATACATTTTCTAACATTTAATCATGTTCTAAATGATAGAAAACATATTCTTAAGTTTTTTCCATATATTCTATGAAAACTAGAATGTATATTCTCGTTTTTTAGAATTTCGAGAAAAAAAAAGGAAACAGATTCACAAAAAAAGAAAACTAATTATTTATGTTAGATTCATGATATCTTCATTATTCCTAAAGATGTTTTCTCCCAGAAAAAAAGTGAATTTTATAATTGAGGGCATGGTCGGCTCGAAGTCATGCATGTCGGTTTAGTCAACAACATACGGCTTCATCTTGTCAAACTGTTAAGGGGCAGGTGCGAGTCAAATTAATTTACATTAAAAAACAGATCAAGTGAGGCGGGCCAAATTAAAATACGGATTGGGTGCATGTGTAGATATTTTCTTTTGCGGGTTCACGGGTAATTCACATATTTTTTATCTTTTAAAATAAATATCAATTGTTAGTATTTTATAAATTTTAGTTGTTAAAAAATAAATTATTTTTATTAAAATTATATATTATTTAATTTTTAATATGATTTAAAAAAATTTACATGCTACCCACAGATACCCAAAAATTCAAGTGGGACGGCTGGATGTCAACTATTTTTACTTTGCAAATCTGGCGATGGGTTTCAGGTTGGACCTGCTTGAAAAACTGAGGCCTAAAGCGAAAAAAAAAAGAAGAAAAAAAATTTAGCTTGAAAGTTCAAACTTAAACTTTTGATATCTTAAATCATGCATTGAGTGAGAAATCAATGTGGGAAGATGCTCAGTTGGAACCGATCGAAACTACTATAACTACGGAAATACTGGAAAGCCCAATCCAATCCTTAAGATGCCGGATTGACGGCTCTTGGAAATCTTCGGATCCAACTATGGGTATAGGATGGTGGTGTTTTCAAGTAAATGATCAAACAATATTGCTAGGTGCAAAGTGCCTCCGGAGATGCCCCTCCCCCCCTTCACTCGGAGATGGAAGCCTTAATTTGGGCCATGAAGAATATCCTTTCAAGAAGGATCGATTGTCAGGCGTTTGAAACAGATTGCTCAGAGTTAGTCTCGATGGTACAATCACCTGAAGATTGGCCAGCCTTCTCCAATCAACTAGACGAATTTGTTTTGATCCGTGTCTCTTTTCCCTTTTTCTCGCTTTCCCTTATCTCTCGTTTATGTAATGTCAAGGCGGACTGCTTAGCCCGCTCTTCTCGTCTTTTATTTACTGAAGTTACTTTTGTAAGCACTATTCCTCCTAATTGGGTAACCAATAAAGGAGTTTTTTAATAATTAATGTGTGGTTGACAAAAAAAAAAAAAAAAACTTTTGATAACCAAAAATGACACTTTACCACTACACCAAGATAGGTTTTTTAGTATTAATGCCTTCAGAAATTAATATAAGTGTATATGGTAGACTTTTTTTTTTTTATGTCATCCGAAATTAAATAGTGCTCAGAAGAGTCATTCCTGGGGAATGTTGTTTACATAAGTGACATAAAGCGGTTCTATATGGTGGAACTTGATTGATGGTACTGTATTAATAAAATTTCAATTAATCAAAAATATATCTCACCAACTCTAATCTTAATATATATATATATATATATATATATATATATATATATATATATATATATATATATATATATAGACAAATCTTTAAATATTTATCCTCTATTTCCAATTTTTCCCAAAAACAACAAATGTTTTGAGTATTTTCCCATTTAGTCGGTGATTGGTTGAGTTGTAGGTGTAGAATTTTTGTTGTAGAGTTTCTGATGTATCTGTGTTGGCTGTAGCTGTAGTTTTTTTATCTGTAGGTATTATAATAATAAAGCTAAAGCCTGATTGGTAAAGTTAGTTCAATATTATAGATTGGAATTTGAAGTATATGAATTTAAAAAATTTGCAATATATTACATACGATAACAGATGAACATATAATAAATAGTAAGTTTCATATATAAATTTATAATAATGAAATGAAATATGTATATATATATATATAATTTATATAATTTTATGTCACTTTAGTAAAAATATTGTAAATAGATTATTTTTTCTTATTCTTAAAGTATCATGTACTAATATGCAGTAAAAATAATAATAATTAAATATAGGAGAAAAAAATGTCTACAGCTCTTAAAGCACACAAAAATATGTCGTAGAAATTTTAAGAGTTACAGCAAAAAATCTAAAAAAAAGTTGTTTTGAGCTGTGAGATTTTTTAGGAAAGGTAAAGCTTGATTGGTTCAATAAGGCTTTAAATTTTTTTTTGAGCTGTACCATAAAGATACAGTCCAACCAATCACACCCTTATTATTATCGCCTAAAGTTTTGTTTTGTTGGGCTTGGTTTCGTTTTCAGGCCCAATAGAAAATAATTAGTTTTTTTTTTCCTCTTTTAAGAAAAGAAATTAAAAACCTTTCAATTTTCTACTCTTCTCGAGTCACGGACTCTCTCTCTCTTTCACCTTCTCCGACGGTCAGACCTCCCGGCGTTTGTAAAACCCATCCTCCATATTTGGTACCTTCCCCCACAATCTCCAACTATGGCTGACGATAAGAAGAAGCGGAACAAGAAGAAGAAACGTGGTAATGGTAACAAGAAGAAGATGACCACTGAGCAATCAGAGGCCTTTAAGTCCGTCACCGATTGGCTCTTCGTAGGTTCTTCTTCCCCATCTCTCTCCTCTTCCTCTGATGACTTTGCCGTTACCATCGATTCTGGTTCTTTGAGATGTGGAGACAAATTGGTGTTCGAGCTTCACTCTCATTCAAATCGCAGCGATGGGTTTCTATCGCCGTCAAAGCTCGTGGAGAGGGCTTATAACAATGGGGTTAGTTAATGATTTTGTTGTGTTTTTTGAATTGATGATTTTGCGAATGAATCAGGAGAAGCTCTGAATTGGGTTTTTCTGTCGATACCTTAAGGATTAGCATCACAACGATTACGCAAGACACTAACCATAAAGATTATAGCTTGCTACATTGTTTTCGTGGGTCAAAGTCCATTGCTTTTGGTTGTTTCGGTGATTCTTTCCTCTGTACCAATTCCTAAAAAGGAACAGTCTTTAAGAAGTAGTTCGTAGGAATGAGATAAGGGTTTATACTTGCCGGCAATTTCGCTTTTGATTTCACCCGTATGAGTTTACAGTGGAACTGTTGATGGCATGGTGATATCATGGATTTGATTGCTTGTCAATGTGATCAAAGCAGGTGAAAGTTCTTTCTTTAACGGATCATGATACGATGGCTGGTATCCCGGAAGCAGTGGAAGCAGGACGTAGATTCGGTATCAAGATCATTCCGGGTATTGAGATCAGCACATTATTCGGTTCTAGGTATCGTCTTTATGTTTATTTTGTCCAAGTAATGTAATTTCCATAAGTATATCTGAATTGCGCTGATGGTCATTTCATTGCCAAAATACAGAGACTCTGGGTCTGAGGAGCCAGTGCATATACTTGCGTACTATGGCACTTCCGGTCCAGCAATGTATGATGAGTTGGAAGATTTCCTGGTGAAGATAAGAGATGGGCGTTTCATTCGCGGGAGAGAAATGGTCTTGAAATTGAATAAGTTGAAGATACCTCTAAAATGGGAACATGTCACCAGGATTGCAGGCAAGGATGTTGCTCCAGGTAGGATGCACGTTGCCCGAGCGCTTCTTGAAGCAGGATACGTGGAGAATTTGAGACAAGCTTTCACTAAATATTTACATGATGGTGGACCAGCTTATGCCACGTAAGTTCTGCTTCTTCCCTAGTTTGGATGATTTTATTGAACCTTGCGGGATTTAAGCGTTTATGATTATCTTATGCTAGTCTAGTGCTTACCTTAGGTGGCTTGTAGTGGATGTTAGCTGTATCGAAAGTGGATGACAGCTCCTCAACTATATTAGAGAACTAGAGATCTAATATGCTAAACGAAAGTTTAGGCACAATGAGTTGGGGTATTCTGGATTGGTCTTAGATCTTGCTCTGGGCATTGTTAGAGACGTATTGACTTGTGTCGTTAATCTAATATCTTATATTGTGTAGTTCCTTTGAGTCGTTTAGCTAGAGATCTAACAGGTCAAAAGGAAGTTTAGGGAGAATGAGTTTGGATATTGTAGGATTGGTCTTGCATATTGCTTTGGGCAGTGGTTGAGAGTTAAGACACTTCTATTGTTAATTAGTTTTCTTATTTGGTGTAGTTCGTTGGTATTGGTCTAAAACCTATCAATATCACACTGACTTTTTTCTATTTGGATGGTTGCATAACCTTATTGCAGAGGGAGCGAGCCTATGGCCGAGGAAGCAGTAAAAATTATATGCAAAACCGGTGGTGTAGCTGTTCTTGCACATCCGTGGGCGTTGAAGAATCATGTCGGTGTTATTAGGAGATTGAAAGATGCTGGACTTCATGGGGTCGAGGTTTATAGGAGCGACGGCAAGTTAGAAGGTCTCTCACTCTCTCCCTCCCTCTTTCCCTCCCTCTTTCCCTCTCTATCATATCTATTTATCTATTTGGGTTCACTGAATTTTAATGGTTATTGAACAGTGTTTAGCGAGTTGGCTGATACATACAGTCTGCTAAAGCTAGGAGGATCAGATTATCATGGAAAAGGTGGACGCAATGAATCAGAATTGGGGAGTGTAAACCTTCCCATGACGGCATTGCAGGATTTCTTGAACGTTGGACGTCCTCTATGGTGTGAGGCCATTAAAGCTACGATGAAAGCATTTCTTGACCAACCATCCGATTCAAACCTCTCCAATATCTTAAGGTTCGATAGGGCAAGGATTCTGAAAGGAAATTCAGCTTGGTCCTGTGGTAAGGAGTTGATGGACCGATGTTTAGCGATTTGGTTGACGAGTGATGAGAGGAAAAGCAATGACTTTGAGGCTCTCAGATTGAAGCTCTCTTTTGTACCAATCATGTCAAACGGATCATGTGTCACAGTTGGTCCTTAATTTTTGGTCTGGTCTCTTTTTATCACTCATTTCCTACCAATACGCTATTTACACACGAATTTTAGTTATCTCAAAAACCCCATGGAAGATCACCTGGAGAAATGATATCGACAAAAAACCTAACACAAAATTCACCCAAAAACCCACTCGATGGATCTTCAAACGAACATAGAAACTAAAATCGCCGGAGAACCTTCAACTTCGGATCTTCATGTGATCTATATGTCCTCTCTTGTAATTAGAGGACTTCTACTATTTTTATGGTTTAAAGTTTAAACTAATCAAATTTTGTTATGGTAGGCGTGTTACAAATCTTGAATCTCCATGTCTTTCATCCTTCGGAACAAATGCATATACCATGTTCCTTAAGTTTTTAAGCTCTTCTTGTTGCTAACGAATGAGGTTTATTGTCTCCAACAATGCTACATATTGTCAAGCATGTGAACCTCCATCCAAACTTCTCATCAATCTAAGCTTTGACAATATTTGGTACCTTAAAATGGGAGAGTAAGTTACATTTTTTATTGGATATTTTCTACTTTAAATCGAAAGAATGTGTCAAACCTCAAATGTAAAGTGCATCATTCAAATTTCAAATAAAGAAAAAAGATGTAGAGGGAGAAAAAGTGCATGAATTGTTTTATGTATAGGATTGTAAAAGGAAATCTTTGCACCTTTTGCCAACTTTGCTTTCATTTCATGGCACTTTCTCTCCACTCTTGCTCATCATTACACTCGTTTGTTTACAGTTCATTGTTTCATACAATTTATTTTTATTTTCTGACAGTACACTTTCAGATTTAAAATCACTTATTTTATGTTACTTACTGTTTGCCATTTTTGTATTTTCTTATACCAAATTAAACTCTACACAAAAATATGAACCTATACACTATACAAAATCTAAAGAACAATCGTTATGTTAATAGATAATTTGATGCAGAATATTATCACATGACGTAAATAATAATATTATGTTAGCTTACCATATCATCAGATGTTAGTTTAAAATTTCTGTAAATTTTCAGTTTTCCCTTTATAAAATTTGAAATTTGAGTTTAATCTCAATAATTAATCGTAATATAAACATATTTTTTTCATAGAAAAATTCTACCAATCTGGAATAAACGACCGAATTTTAAACAAATATGATTTATTCCATAAAGCATTTTACACACATGAGAAAGTAATGATTCATGTCTTCTCTTTCGGCGAAAAATATGAAATAAAGAATAATAAATGAAAACGTAATTCCATTTATTTAGCAAGCTAGAGAGCACCAAAAGAGACTCATCATCATCACAATGGCATCTACAACTATTCTCATGATCTTCACGGCGGTGGCGTTGATCATGTCCGGCGAGCGAGTTCATGCAGCAGTGGACTGCTCATCGTTGATATTAAACATGGCTGATTGTTTGTCGTTCGTGACTAGTGGTAGTACCGTGGTGAAACCGGAAGGGACATGTTGTTCAGGGCTAAAGACTGTGGTTAGGTCAGGACCAGAATGTCTATGTGAGGCTTTCAAGAACAGTGCTTCTCTTGGTGTTACTCTTGATCTTTCTAAAGCTGCTTCTCTTCCTTCTGTTTGTAAAGTTGCTGCTCCTCCGTCTGCTCGTTGTGGCCGTAAGTTTCCTTTTTCGGAATAATTTTTTTTTTACTATATATAAATATTTTTTTTCAGAAATTTCTTTTTTGTTCAGAAATTTTATTCATTCTATACATATTTATACATTTTGTTGATTAACCTTTTGAAAATGTTGTGTTGCAGTTTCTGTCTCTGGATCTCCTCCTGCTACTGCCCCTGGTATGTATTCTCTCATAATTAAGTCAAGAGTCTAGGTTTTTTTGATATTTTGTTTAATTTATGAAATACAGATTTTTTAGTTTAGTTTGAGAATTTTGATTTGACCTGGTTTTTGGTTTGGTTGTTTTATTTTGGTAAGATTGTTAGAAATGAATATTATATATTTATGGACATTTAAATGTAAATTTCCTGCATATGTAATGTAAGTAATACAAAATTAACTACTGATAGATTCCAGTTTATCAATTTCGTTTAGTTCATTTGCATAAAAATCGGCTATACTATTTATACAAAAATATGTTTAAATGTTATTCTAGTTATGAGTTATCTAAATATAAATTAAACTTTATGACTTATTCTAATAAAATTAGTTTAGTTTGGGAATTTTATTTTGTCTGGTTTTTGGTTTGGTTTTAGATAAGAAAACTATAAATGAATAATATTTAAGGACATATAAATGTAATTTTATTGTATATATATTTAACATACACAAAATAAATATAAACTAGCAATAAGAGTAATCAACATAATCTTTTTTTAACTATTTTCAAACCATCAATCTACGCGTACCGTAGATATTCATCTAATAATATATAAAAGGTTTAATAATTTAAAATTTTGGGTTTGGATGTTAACAGGTTTATCTCCCACGGCCGAAGCAGGTGCACCGGAGGTGTCCAATGGAGCAACTGCCGCAACTCCAGTTCCGTCCCCAAGAAGTTCCGATGCGTCCATGCGCTCGATGTCGTTCGCATCTATCATCTTCATGGCACTGATTTCTTCTTTCAATTGAGCCTTGCAAACTAATTGCTTCTATTGAGTTCTTTTTGTTTGCTATGTAGCTGAAGAGTTTGGTGTTCCTAATCATTTTTTACCTTTCATGTTGTGTCAATTTTACTGAGATTCTCTTTTTAGCTAACGTTATTGCTTACTTTCAATTTTTGGACATAACTTTGAAGTTGGTAGGCTTGACTTTGTGTTAGTCCAAATAACTTGAACCTATTAGACCATATGTTAAATGAGTTCTTACTACAAAAAGTATAATCATATTACGCGATATAAGACACTCATATTGTAAGGTGCGTAAAAAAGTACTAGTATGTGCCCGGACAATAAAAGCTATTCATGCTCTGAAAAGTTTTGATGAAATAGTCTTAATTAAGAGGATTAGACCAAGTCCAGCAAGGGTTTTTAGTGGGTTTCTATGTTGGGTTTCTAAGATAAAATGGGCCCAGATGAAAGAAAAACAGAACAATCCATTTAGGATCGTTCCTAAAATTGGGATTTTCGCGACCCAATAGAAACCCATACGTGGCTTCAGTTTATTGGGTAAACTTTTTGACTAAAAAAAAAAAAAAAAAAACACGCGTTTTAATTTTTTTCTTCTTCTCTCTCGTTTCTTCGTGTTCGCCGACGGAGACTCCAAAGGCAATTGCTTCCCAAACGTCGATCTAGTGATTTGTTCATGAAATCATGACAGATTCAACCACGGGATGATGATCGAGCTGGAGTTTGTTCCCCAAATCGATTCTTCGAACCAAATCGAAACCCTCATCATGGTTCGTATCTCTTCTTCTTCGATTTGATTTTATGAGCTTTGAAATTGAATTTTGAAAGAGATTATGATCTGATTGCATTGGTATGTTTATTGAATTACGAATTCTGGAAATTTTTAGTTCGTGTACTAAGCTTGAGCTGCATATGTTGTTATTAGCTTGTTCTTAGTTTTCTATATGTTTGCTTGATTCTCAGTGAAGTCTTATTGTTGTTTCTATAGTAACATAGAAATTTCAGATTTTTATGTGTTTGTTCTGTAGCTTTGTTTGTACCTATATCCTTTAAAGAAAAACTTACGGATTCAAGTATATGTTTTCTTGTGGTAGATAGAGGAGCATTATGTGGCTCAAGGTTTAAGTATTGTTGGATACTTTCATGCAAACGAGAGGTTTGATGATGTTGAGCTCTGTGGTGTGGCTAAAAACATTGGTGTGGCTAAGTTTTATGTTTAAGTGTATGACTATGTTAATCAATGAGTTGTTTCAGTTTATGAGTTTGAGTTGTTTCAGTTTCAGTTTCATGTTGTTTTCAGTTTCAGTTTGAGTTGTTTCACTTTGAGTTTCATGTTTGAGTTCATGTTTGAGTTCATGTTGTTTCAGTTTCATGTTTGAGTTCATGTTGTTTCAGTTTCACTTTCAGTTTCATGTTTGAGTTCATGTTTAAGTCTTATGTTTCATGTTTATGTTTGAGTTCATGTTTTAGAAACCCACTTAAGGATTCCACCAATGGACCATAAAATTTTCAAAAACTCTACAAAATCTCTAAACTACAAAACTATCAAAATTTATTAATAAAAAATACATAGAAACCTTACTTAGAAACTAATCGTTGTGGTTGCTCTTAAGTCTTCAAACTTAGAAACTATCTTAGAGCATCTTCAATTTCATTGTCAAGAACCCTATCGTGTATCTCAAATATACTATTTATTAATCTAAACTATTTAATTAAATTTTTAAATCACAAAAAAAAAAATCAAACCAACAATCATATGATGGCAAGTGTCAAATGAGTATCTAAAAAAGTTTTCAAAAAGTTCCCATTTGAGAAACGTTCTTAAGTGTCTCTCTTTTTTTTAATTAAATTATTTAATGGGTTAGAATTCTATCAAAATATCTTTGGTGGATGTGTTCTTATAAACTTATTCAAGTGTATATTTTATAAATTTGAAACTAAGTATGTGGCTTTCACACATGTCAAGAATATATAAGACTACTATATATGGAAAATAAAATTAAAAAACAGAATATTTCTTTTTTAATAAACCTTATCGGCCTAAATTGCATGGAATCAGAAGCGGGTGCGAGGAAGCGAAGCGTTTGGAAGCGATTTTTTCAAAATTTTACGAGATGTGTACGCTTTGGAAGCGTATATATATATATAGAACAAAAATCAAATGTGATTAAATAACTCTTGTCTTAAATAAAACAGATCCAATACTTAATTAAGTTGATTAGAGATTTTTTTTTTTAAAAAAAAACATAATGCATAAGTCAAAGATTTGGACCATCGTCTTCCTTTTTATTTTAATCACCATTAACAAACACAACAGCCTCCATCTCTGGTTCATCAAGAGAAAGATCCTCAAACTCAAGTCTTCCAAGATTTATCTCATCCAATGAATCAAATTGGTCACCACCAACATCCCACATATGATTAGGACCACCTTTATAAGTAGAACTCCTAGATAGAAGACGA